CGCATCAAGATGTTTGATGGTTGTATCCGAACAATCTCCAATTTTCAACATGTACTTGCATTGAAGAAGAGTCTTCTGTCCTTGGGAAAGTTTGACAAGCTTGGAATGAAAATCATAAGGGAGAATCGTCAACTAAAGGTAGTCAAGGGCATTATGGTTGTGTCAAAGGGTGAACTAGTTGGGAATTTATATAGATTGGGGGGTGAGACCAAGGTTTTTAAAACCGAACCGATCATTGAACCATTTTCAGGTCCGATTCCTGGTTTAATCGATTCAACCGGTTTAATCAGTGAATCGGTCGGTCCAAACAGCAAAGAAGATTTGATGAGAGGAGCAAGCTGCAGGCATAGATTTTCTAATTTGGTGTTGATAATTTTGTAATTTTGTTAAAATTAAAGGTTAAAATGGGTATAAGAAAGGAATGGGAAGGGTGAAATTGGAAAAAATTGAAAGAAGATTGCATGAGAAATTGAACCAGTGGTTTTTTCGGTTCCATTGGTTCCACTGGTTTTGATTGATTTTCACCGGTTTTTACTGGTTTTGATCGGTTTTGATCGATTTTGACATCAAACGGTTTTCTTATGTAAACCGAACCATTTTCATCACCGAGTATTGGTCTAACCGGTTCAACCGACCGATCTGGTCCGATTTTAAAAACCTTGGGTGAGACTTTAGTGGGAAAAGCTAATGTTGCAAGTACCAAGTTTGAATCCTCTTCTGTTTGGCACAAACGGTTGGGACATATGAGTGATCGTGGGCTTCAGGTACTATCTGATCAAAAACTTCTTCCTGGTTTCAAGACTGACTTATTAGGTTTCTATGAAGATTGTGTGTTTGGAAAACAACATAGGCTGTCTTTTTCTTTGTCAACAAACAGAAGCCATAAATTCCTTGACTTGATTCATGTTGATACTTGTCAAGTACCTGCTGTTTCTATTGGTGGGTGTTCTTACTTTGTGACATTCATTGATAATTTCTCCCGAAAGGTATGGATTTTCATGCTCAAAAGGAAATCTGATGCTTTTGAAAAATTCAAAAGGTTTAAAGCATTAGTAGAAAATAAAAAAGGCACAAAAATTAAGTGTCTCCGAACTGATAATAGGGGAGAATTTTGTAGCAAGGAGTTTGATGATTTTTGCAGTGAGCATGGTATTAAGAGACATCTTACAGTACCAGGAACACCACAACAGAATGGGGTTGTTGAGAGAATGAACCAGACTCTCATGGAGTGTGCTAGATGCATGATGAGCACTGCAAAATTGGGGAAGGAATTTTGGGTTGAAGCTGTTAACACTGCATGCTATCTAATCAACCGCTCACCCACTGTTTCTCTCAAGATGAAAACTCCAGAGGAGGTTTGGTCTGGTAAACTTGCAAATTATTCTTTCCTTCGAATATTTGGATGTGATGCTTATGTTTGGGTGCCTAAGGAGAAAAGAACCAAAGTTGACAAAAATTCAAAAAGATGTATTTTTCTTGGCTATGAGATAGGTACAAAGGGGTATAGATTGTGGGATCCTACTGCCCGCAAGCTTATTATTAGCCGAGATGTGGTTTTTAATGAAGATGTTTTTCAAGGCACAACTAAAAAGGAAGAAGCAAGGAAGATTGTTATTGAGCAAGAAGCTAGTTTTGATGATGTTGTACAGGAGGAAAATATTCAAAATGATCCTCAATATGAGTCTGAGCCTGAGTTTGAGCTTTTACATGAAGGAACTTCATCTGGTGATGCTGTTTCGCCTCGACCTCGAAGGGCCATTAGACCTCCAACGAGGTATGATGACTATGTTACATCTTTGAAGCCTCAATCTAATTATGTATGTGCTTATCTTGCTTTGTCAGAAGAACATGAGCCAACTTCTTTCAAAGAGGCTTGTGAGTCTGTCAATTCTGACCAATGGCGAGGTGTAATGGAGGAGGAGATGGAGTCTTTGCACAAGAACAAAACTTGGGATCTTGTTCAGCTACCAGAAGGTCGAAAGGCAATTGGATGTCGCTGGATATACAAGTTGAAGAAGGACTCAGAAGGGAATATAGAAAGATACAAAGCCAGACTTGTGATTAAAGGGTATGCCCAAAAACCTGGTATTGATTTTGATGAAGTTTTCTCACCAGTTGTTCGTATGACTACTATTAGAGTTGTTTTAGCTCTTGCTGCTTTTCTTGATCTTGAGTTAGAACAACTAGATGTCAAGACAGCTTTCTTGCACGGTGACTTGAATGAAGAAATTTATATGACACAACCTGAAGGCTTTGTTGAAGAAAATAATAGAAGTTTGGTTTGTCGGCTGAACAAATCGCTTTATGGTCTGAAACAGGCACCTGGATGCTGGTATAAGCGGTTTGATTCCTTTATCGTGAGCTTGGGATTTCATAGATGTGAAGTTGATCATTGTGCTTATTTTTGTGATTATAATGATGGATGCTTCTATATCTTGTTATTGTATGTAGATGACATGATTATTGCGGGAAATAATCCCACTTATGTCTTTACATTAAAAGCTCAACTTGCTGGGGAATTCGATATGAAGGACTTGGGAGCCATGAATCAAATTCTTGGGATGAAGGTATTTAGAGATAGAGAGGACATGAAGATCTGGTTGAATCAAAAGAACTACATAGAAAGGGTTTTGCAGCGCTTCAATATACAGAATGCTAAACCAGTGAGTACCCCCTTTCCTGTTCATATTAAGCTGTCTTCAGAATACTCACCCAGCACTGAAGCAGAGAAGGCAGCGATGTCTTGAGTACCATACTCATCAGCAGTAGGGAGTCTTATGTTTGATATGGTCGGAACTAGGCCGGACATTACACAAGCAGTGGGAGCTGTTAGCAAATACATGGCAAATCCTGGTCGTGTTCATTGGGATGCAATGAAGTGGATCCTTAGATATTTAAAGGACACTTCAAGTGTTTCATTGTGTTACAAGTCAATGGAACCCGATTGTGTTGGTTTTGTTGATGCAGACTTTGCCGGAGATAGAGATAAAAGAAGATCAACTTCTGGTAATGTCTTTATCATGGCGGGTGGTGCAGTTAGCTGGGAGTCTAAATTGCAACCGGTTGTAGCCTTATCAACAACAGAGGCAGAGTATATCTCTATCTCTCATGCTTGCAAAGAAGCTATTTGGTTGGAGAGGTTGCTTGCAGAATTTAAAATGAAGCAAGACACGTTTTCTATGCATTGTGACAGTCAAAGTGCTTTGTTATTGGCTAAGAATCCAACTTTTCACTCTCGCACAAAGCATATCGATGTCTGCTATCATTTTGTTCGACAATTAGTTGAAGATGGGAAGATACTTCTGCACAAGGTTCACACAAGTTCAAATCCAACAGATATGTTAACAAAACCAGTGGCCCGTGACAAGTTCAATTGGTGCAAGTCTTCAATTGGACTTGAAGAAGTTTGATTCCTTTTTCATTTTTCTGTTTGTTTTGTTTCAAGAAACGTGTCTTCAAGTGGGAGATTGCTGAAGACCAAGTCAAATAAGACTGTTAGTGGAGTCCTAATAAAGTGGAGCTGCTGGAGCATACTAGATTTTTTATCTAGTATGAAGCCACGTTTTTAGTAGAGAGTTACAACAAACTTCTGTTATTTTGCTGTCTATAAATAAGGAGAATGACCAGTTGCACTGTGTGTCAAATTCGCATCTTTTCATCATATTTTCTTGTTATAGTTGTTCTGCTTTCAATATTCAGCAATAAAAGTCATTTCAGTTTCCAATTACTGTACTTCTCATTCTTCAATTTGCTGTCATTTAGTTCCTCTCTTGCTATATGCATAAACACCATTTTACACTTGATCCACTTTTAACTTATCAGTTCTTTCCCAAGGTTTGGATAGTAATTGAACCACCAAGCCGACCCATTCCTTTCAAGCACATTTGACTCACTAATTTGCTAAGTCAGCTTTGATACGGTTGACCAAGTACAAAAAGATATGAAGGCCGATTTAAAGTGTAAACATGATAAGGTTTCTTAGAGCACATGAGAAGGAATGAACGCCATAGAGCCATACAAGCATCTCGGAACAAAGGAAAAAGATAAACTGACTTGCAAAAACCAAGAGAGTAATGTTTCATAGTTATCTTACATGATCAAGCAGTAAGACATCATCTTCTTCTTCCAAGCGTGAAAAGTCAATTGCACGTTGACCAGTTACAACCTCCAGAAGCATAATCCCATAACCAAAGACATTTGTTCTTTCTGATGACTTTCCAGTGGACAAGTATTCAGGTGCTATATGGCCCATTGTCCCACGAACTTGGGTTGTCACATTAGTCCGTCTCACATCCACCAACTTTGCTAGGCCAAAGTCACCAACAACTGATTCAAAGTCTTCATCCAACAATACATTAGCTGCCTTCACATCCGGATGGATGATCTTAGGATTGCAATGTTCATGCAGGTATTCTAGCCCACGTGCTGCACCTAAGGCTATTCTTTTTCTTGTAGG